GTGGAAAAGGAGTGGTATTGAATAGCACAGAATCGGAAGTGATGGCAAATTTTCATACCAATATGAGCGTTGGCCTGAAAAGTGTGACGATGTGGATGAAAATGAGAAATAGAAAGAAGATTTCTGTCAAGTACTACTGCATTCAAATTCTACAAAAATTGCTACAATATTATTTATTGAAAGATCTCATTTGCAAACAATGTTTGAAAAAATGAAAAAAGCCCTTCAAAATATTTCAAAGGTGTTTCATAGAAAACAAGGAAACTCTCTAAATAGAAATTGATTGCTGTTGTATGGAGTATGGCTCAAGTGTCTGCAAAAGTGTGAGATTGTAAAAAGGAAGGAGACAATGGCAAATAGATTAACAAATAGTGAAATGCAAATGTGTGATGAGTGGCACTGGCTTGTGAGAAAAACAGCTGAAGAGATAGAGAATCCGGTGTGACAACAGCAGTAGAACAGAAATAGAACGGAAAGCCGGCATTACCAAGTACAAGGTGAGGAGTGTTGTAGGAAAATATGCTATGGGGAGGATCATCTCTCTTGAGGGCATGTGAAATGAGTTTTGATACATATCCACAGCCACTTTTCCCACCCAATGCACAATTGCGGAAACACATTAGGAAAATGTCGAAGAATTGAGTGTGGGTGCGATTCCACCTTTTCTCACTTGTGACGGTGCGGAAGGCTGTCTGTTTATCCAACTTTCTCGATAAGGTGTTAATTAAGTCATGAGGGAGAAATTCACTTTGCCTGTTTGTCAATTCAAAATCACAGTCAAGGATGGAGAGAGAGAGAGAGAGATTTCCCTCCTTTATTGAGAAGGCCTTAAAGAAGGGATCCTGGGACGAGTTTGTCTGGCCCAAGTTGAAGAATTTTTGGCAATGAACCAATTGAAATAAATTTCAAGCTACTTCTTGTGGGGAAATTCAAGAATTCCCGTGTTCAAACTCACTCTTCTGTCCATTTTCACGACCCACAACTGAAACTGGAGATACAAGAACTCGCAGATATTGAAGACAGAGTCTGTGTCGAAGGGTGCTGGCTAGGGAGAAAGCAATGGCCTTTCTATATGCCCTTCTGTCTCATTCTATACATATTTATACAAGAGAATTTCAGCTTATTGAACTCTGCGGGAAGACAACCCTATATTTCGGATATTTATAGGGCGAAATCGTATATAGTTTTGTGTACATATGCTGGGTGATATATTGCACTGCCATGGACGATCCTTCCCAAATCATGCTCACTGAATTTATCTAGCCATATAGCCCCAAAATATGCATCTACACACTGTCTCATGAATACACACATGCATCATTTTGCTGGTAATTCAATGACTTTTTTATTTGATCACTAAATAAACTGACGCTTTCAGTGTTTCTCATCCAATGTTGTAAATTGATTTGTTTGATTGATTATGAAATATGACTCTGAAATAATGGGTACCACTAAAATTATTTCAATTCGCTGTCCTTCCTCTTTGGTCCATAAAAGACTCACACACAACACACACACTCGCACAAAATATGTGATTTTGATGGGAGAAAATACAAGCGCACAAACAATTTATTTTGTATCACAGCATCTCTGAATATCTCATGTTTACATAATTCAATTTCACTGCACACAAAAATGAAATTCAGCTGCAGCGCAGACGAATAATGTCTGACGAGTGTCTTCATAAACAATTTTCCGTGCCATTCTCACAATTATTGTTCAGCAATGTTATGCAAAATTTTAAGTCTGTCTCCTATTTAGCATACAAAAATGATTTTCATGTGAAACTTCCCTTAGTACTTGTGTATGTATTTTTTCTACTAACTTTTTCCATCATTCATATTTCTCTCTCTATGCGACCTATTATTTGCACTCGAAGGCACACATTTTTTTAAACTTCGCTTACCAACCCCTGAAAATGGTTAGTGTTTATTCGAGAGGCTGTGGCACTCTCGGCTCGTTTTAGAGGGTGTGACTTCTTCCAATGCAGAAAAGTCCGCAATTTTCCTCTTCGTCATGAGACATTACGAGTGAGGGGATGCTATGAACACATGTGGTCTGTCGAAAATGGAGGGCAGAAGAGCAGTCAGTACTTTGTTGGTTAATTGCCGTAATGCAAGTGTGCGAATTGGAAGGGATACGAAATAAGAGTGCAAATTACCAAAGTTAATGCATGAAAACCTTAAATTATGCAAATGTTTAATACATTCTCTAAGGCAAGTGTTTCATCTTATCAAATATTTCCACGCTGATAGATTAATGCAATGTTCGCGGAAATTTGAGTTAATTACATATTTATATTGTATATTCATATATAGTATTTCGAATAAGTAAGGCAATTAAATGTGAGAGCAATGTCTGTACCAAAAAATCTTCCCGAATCCTATGAGATATGATGCTTTCCAGTATAAGATCAATTGGACAAAGTCAACTTAGGAATCACTGTATGCAATTTCAACAGACTCTCAGACATTTCTTTTAATTATTTCTACACTTTGTATCTTCGCCATTGAGCTTCAATCGCTTCATATAACATGCTGTATGTTTCTATGAAAAAATTCTGTTGAAGTAAGAAGGAAGCGCAGTTGTAAAAAATTGAAGGCAAAACAATTTCCTTGAGCGGAAATTAAGGTGGAAATAATTCAGTACAATTTTACAGGTATTTCTTCTCAAACTAAACATAAAATGTAAAGAGATGAGAACAAATTATCCACTGAAAATTCAAATTGTGATAAAGATGAAATCAATCAAAGATCAATAAAATAGACCTTTTTTTTCTTTCAAATAAACTCTTAATTCAGATCATTTCTTTTTCTTACTCCCCATTCGGACGAAAAAGTTTTCCGGAAATGGGGTGTGTGAAATTGAGGGGAGATTTTTGGATGAAATTTCGAGGGTGGATCTCATAATTTCCATACATTCTCATTCTCTCTCTCTGTCTCAATATAGAAGCACTTTTCGGCCCACACCCCCAAAACAATCTGTTAGGGGAAAAGTTTCAGTGTGAGGATTAGGGACGAAGTGTTGCCAAAGAAAACACTGGGAAAACGGAAAGTCTTAGGCAAATTCGAGGAGGATTTTCATGATTTGGTTGGCAACTAATCAGTCCCTCAATATTCAACGTTTAGCATGCAAAAATTATGCAATAACAGACCCAAATCATCGGAAACATTGAGGCAATAAAGTATTTGTGTCATGTACACTGCCTCATATCGACTCTCTTAAATCAGCCAAATTCGTTGATACACAACTCATTTGAGGGGAAGGGAGAGGGGAGAAGGAAGGAAATTACATTTAGACATATCATGGCCCTTTCACTCTCCCCTTCGCAATCAGAGTAACAAGACCCGCATAATGGGTGTGGAGCCGCAAAATCTATCGGGAAAATCAAATAAGGAAGAGTAAAATTAAGAGCAACGTTTTTCCTTTTCAAAAACACCACCCCCCATATAAGAGGGTAGGAATCAAGCGATTATTTTCACTGAATAACTTATCCATTTTTCTCGTTAACCCCCACACTTCAACCCTTGGCGTGTATTACCGTTGACTCGACGCAACTTTTTTACGAGCCAGAGAAGGAAGTTCAACGAACGGTAATGATTTCTAAATAAAGATGAGTTCCGGATGAGAAAGATGTACGGGAAAGATTGAAGCGTAGAGAGATTCTTATTATTTCATTAATGTCGTCTCTATATATCTTCCTGTATTGTCTGGCAATCACTAAATGTCCGTTCCATTGTGAATACACATTCGGTGGTGTTCAAAAAATCTAAACAAATAAAAATTTCATAAGAACTGAACACGAAACACTAATTGGGCGATAAAGTGGCGCAGTTGGAAAATATGCAGTGCATTATGAGATTAAAATAGTTGGAAAATATATGGCAATGTAAGAAAACCACAATTCACGTTTTTTTTTACCATTTATTATGGTTTGTGTGAATTTTGCGGCGTTCAGTAAAAAAAAATCTTTTCACTTTCTACCTTTAACCATATCATTTTCGGATAAAACTCAAGCCATCAGTTACAGAGGCAGATGTACTCTAATCGTCATTCGGATAGAAGTAGGCTGTTTGCGAATGCAACACTGAGTAATAAGATTTGCGGTGATTGTGGTGACGTGGTGATTGGGTGAAAAGTGAGACCCAGATTATCTGACATCAAAAACCAAAAATCGATTTCGAAAGAATATTTAAATACAACTAGTGTTGCAAAACTACATCGTTTTTCAGCTACATACATATGTACATATATATTAATAAACATTTTTTAATGTACAAATTTAAATTATTGTGATCTTGTTCTATTCATAATATTCAGTCTATTGACTAATATTTAACCAATTTATCCCCAATTTTATAAGTTACATAATAACTTTATCTTTCTCGACAAACCACATTGGTGATAAACCTAGTCAGACGCATGCCGAATAGATAAACACTCCGAAGACTCGTTTTGTCAAGGACAGACGTTTTCGCTTCGTTTTTTGCCATTTAAGACGCACTTGTAGTCTACTTTTCTGATAATACCGCGGCCGTCCGGAAGGCCTGAGTGTTTAACTGCATTTCACGGGGAATTTCTCGTGGACCATCAGCATCTCTCGCACATAAACAGGGTAATCGGATAATGTGGGAAGGGAAAATATTATAATGAGGCCGCCAGGCAAGTTGAGGCGAACGGTGAAGACAAAAGGATGGAAAGTTCCGTATTGAATGCAAGATCAATTTACATAACATCCCAACAATTGTGCTCGGCGCACCGCGAACTGTGGAATACTATAAAATTAATTATGAGATTTGTCGCTGGAAGCGTTTCACTCTTCTCTCATTCCATGTCATTGGATGCACACTGACAGTGGACACTCAGGATTCCAGGGAGCAGCGCGAGGCAATGGGGGTTACCATTGCGTCAATTTCTGGGAAAATGGGCGATTGTGCGAGGCGGGGGTGTGGACGCCCGCCCGCAGTTTTAGGGTGGTTCGAGTAGGTGGGGTCCATTACCTCAATGTACGAATCGCTGTTGGGATTGAAGGTATTGCTGACTCGGTGCAGAGTGATGTTGAAGCGGGGCACTGAGTGTAGCAGATCCACGAACATTGCATGGGGCTCCATTCCGAAGAGGCGGGCTCTTAATTGATAACTCATGGACAAGGTGGCGCCCTCACTGGACACCTACAGCCTCTTCCGGGCCGAAACTCCACTCGAAACTTCCTGTTTTTATCTCCGCAAAGGGCCCCACTCACTGCGCGGCCCTTTTCACACCACTCGCCACACACGTACACAAATCTCACCAGCAGCCTCTGGCGAGCGCACTTCACTGAGCATTCACGGGAGGGCGTCAATTTATCCCTTCGTGCACGGATTCCCTCATCAGAAACACCCCAGCCACCATTGAGCACTTTCGCACCTCAGATTTCCGCCAACAGACCTTGTGCGAGCTGCTAGATTATGCACCACACTCACCAACTAGCACACTTGAGTCACTCTTCACCGCAATTTTGATAAGAAGACCGTCGATTATTTGGAAAATCCACTTTTTCTCAGAGCTTCTTCATCTTGTCGACACTCACTTTGTCACTTTGGCGAAAAACTAACTTGCATGAAGCATATGCATCTCCAGACTCAACCCACCACTTTTGCTGTCTTTGAGCAACATCATGGCGTTGTGCTCAGTGGTGAATTTCTCCAGTGAGATTTTGGCCGTACCGCCTGAAAAATTCTCATGAATTCAGCATACTCACGAATTGCGAATGAAAGTGTATTTTTATGCAAGAATTTAATTTCTCAGATCTACGTGTAAATAGGTTTAAATTGCTTTATTCGTCTTAATGATTTTATCGAAATGTTCTTTCTCTTCACTTGAGGTTATGTCCAATATTTTGTAATGCATATTTTCTTCAGTATTTTTTTCAATTTAGCACAGATGGATAAAGGCTTTTATATAGGAGCCTCCTAAAAGCACTAGATAATCTCAGGGTAAGCACTTCCAATAACACTTTTCCCTCTGTACCGGAATGTATATGTCTTGATCTTAAATTTCTGCCCATGTCCGGACAAGAGACAATCAGTGTCCGGGAAGATGGCAAAGCAAACAGTGTAGAGAGCCATTTCCAGTTCAGGTGATGTGCCGACGAATAAGCTATTCACCGGCTTGTTGATATTGTCATAACTGAAGCGAATTTTCGCAATAGAGCCACTCTGAAAAACGTTTACAGAATTAGAAATACGCTTCGCAAAGGTAAATGAATTAACTCACTGATCCAAGATCTTGCTTCCTAATGTATCCCTTGTAGTCCAGGTGACCAGACTTCTCCACCTCATGCATAAAAATCCAATTGTGAAGGCCTATGACACTGTTATTCTTGAGTTCTGCCAGAAAAACATGCTCAAAGCCAGAACTTCCAATTCTTCCTTGCCCCCGAGAGTACATGCTGAACCATACGGTTTTCAGGAGATCTTTGTGTGACGCTGGGTCCGCCGTGACCTTATCCTTTCGCTGTAGAAATAGCATAGCCGCTCTCATTGGTGCCGTACCCAGAACTGCGTCCAAGAAGTCACTCTCTTCGTTCTTCTCCAACGCGGTGGAATGCTCATTAACACTAGAATCAAGCTCATAGTTGTTAAAAAGCAACTTCATCTTTGACACTGTTGGAATAGCGTTCAGAGAAGCTTCATTGTTTATGGCGAGGAAGGGATTTGGAGCATCATCCTGGGTGGAATAGGAGACAGTTTTGCTGGCATAGTTGGGAGTAACGTAGCGGGCAGCATTGTTGGAGTCCTTCGTGAAGAGCGTCTCTGAGAGGGACAGAACTTCAGATTCAATGCTTCCTTCAGCTACTGGTGTTGTTGATGTGACTTTGGTTGTGAAGATCGGGACTGGCGGTTGGGGAGTTTGCCGTGGCAGGAATTGGACTGAAGGAACCGTTGATGGAGGGTTCTTCCAAGCCGACGGCGGAGTCGATGGAGTTGGCTGACTTGGGGTGGAAGCTCTACTGGGAAGAGCTGGAAATTCTTCCTTTTTCTGCGTTGTTCTTTCGGTTATTCTTGGAGCTGCGCTTGTGGTACTTCTCGTTGTGCTGCTCTGAGTTGTTGATGTTGTACTTCTAGGTGTTGTCGGGGTGGTAGTTGATGATGTGGGGACTTCTGTAGTAGTTTTCGATCCTCCAGAGAAGAAATTTCCAATTCTGCCGAAGAATCCGGTCTTCTTCGTCGTCACATCAGGCGCCAATGTCGTCGTTGTCGTTGTTGTGGATGGTGTTATTGGTGGTCTTGGTTGATACCCGTCCGGATATGAGAGATGCATCAAATTTTGCTGCCCATCTAAGCAGAGTCAGAAAAATATCGCATATTTCCTTCAATTATCTCCTTCAAATTCACATTGATAGCAATTCATAGGTCATGGTTCAACATTGATGCGTATTAATTGGAGTAACTCTAACACTCAAAGCGCACGGACGAGTTTCAAGTCAATTTTATGGGCACTTATTCACGAAATACTTTTTTCTTACCTGTTGGAACTAGCAACATTGCCAACAATGCCACAAAAAGCAAAATAAGCTTGAGCATTTTGGCGTTTCTTTTTTCTGGTATGTAAATATACACAGAGAAGATCACGTCACTCTTGCTTGTGAGACAGTTGATGAGAAACTGATTGTTGGAAAGCCACAGAAAGGTCACGTTCCGCCTGCGACTGCTCCGAGAAATATGCGGAGAGCAACGAGAAGCACGAAGGTTGTATTGGTTAGCATGAATTAATGAAGAGTGAAAGAGAAATTCGTGGAATTTTTCGTAATCTCTAAAGAATTTGCAAAAATATTCAACGGTCGTAAAAAGAAACGTCTTTCAAATGCTATATTTTCCCTCCAAAATATGAGATTCACCACTGCCAGTATATCCACCACAAACCATAAAATGTTGCCATAAAATGATTATTCGAGTTGTTGAGGCCGCAGCGGCTGGAAATACGCAGATTGAAAACTAAAATTGTATCACTATCATTCATAGAAATACTTTTAAACTTATCGTTTATTTTACTTTATTTTCTGTCATAATATTTTTACAATATCATCGAACAATTATTTTTGAGTTTTTTTGTATAATGATATTACCTTATCTTTTTTTTCCAGTAATATTATACAAATTCTTCACATTCTCCATTTCATTTTCATCTTCAAAACAAAACTGATTATTTTTCTCATTTTTGGTAGTTCAAGCTTTTCTATTTCCTCCAAAATCTCAATAGCATTTTTTTCTTTCTCTCTACCTATGCGTTTACCGTCTCTTTTGTTGACACAGTCCATTCTATATGTAATTTACTTTCACATGAGTCGTCTCCAAAATGCCATGCATTTTCTAAACAGGATTTACGGGATTTACCAGTAATTAATGATTTAATTGATTGTATGTTAATAGACGACAAAATTTTGGTCCGTGTAGTAAATTTGCACATGAAATTTATGAGCTAACTAGAATGATGTGATCGTCCTTTATTTGGGGTAATTGATCCTATTCTGAATTTGACACACATTCGGACATTTAATTGATTTCCTTAACAACATCTGCAATTTCCCTTTTCTTCATTATCTTGTCATCTATTTTAAAATCTATATTCTTCACCATTTTCAATATCTACTATATTTTCTCATCTTTAGATTAATATATTTCTCTTCTCTTTTCTCCGTGAAAGACTCCATAAAAGTATGTAGGAAGGATAGAAAAATACTTTTGTAAATTGTTCCATGTTTCTCAACATTTTTAAGATTATGTTAAATTCCTTCATGGTTGAGAGTAAAGCAATGGTCTTTCAATAAAATATATGAAATTTCAACTTTGTATATTTTTTTTAAATTAACTTCTGTTTTCGCCATTTTGTACGAGATTTCTTAATTTTCTGAATTTCTCTCTTACATGCCCTTTGTCCAGATGATATTTTTTTATCCGATATTTCAACGCATCCTTCATAAGATATTTCAATTGCATAGTCTCAGTTATATAATTATTTGGTGGGAAGGCTAGAGATTTAAATATATTCCGTTACAGATTGATCTCATTTGAAAAATTGCAGTCGTCAGAAATGTTGCAGTGTGGAAAGTAGGTTTTATAAATTCATTGGTTTCTGAGAAAGATTCTAGAGAAAAAGAATGACAATAGAATAGTTGGTCTCGAAAAGGATACATATTTTCTCTCTCTTTTAACGTGATATTTTCATAATATAACGTTATTTACACATTAAATTTTACACAAATATCTTCTATTTTCTATTTCTTGACAATATTGTTATGCTGATGCCTTTGTTAGGGAATTCACTTTTCTTTGACTTCTTGTAATGATTACGGGGAAGCTGAATGTACTGTTTGCCTAAGGACATGGACACAAATATCGCACCTGTCGCATCATTTATTTCCTCTCTAAAATTGCATTAAGAAAAGATTTCAATTGATAATACCAACTCTTTCAGTCTTTTTCTACAAGTATCTTGATAAATTTGGTTTCTAATTCTGTTTATTCTCTCCTCCCTTAGTTTAACTTTCACTGACTTAAACCTATAAACTCTTTATATGTATACTACACGTTAAATAATTTACAGCAAACGCAAATATTAGATTCTCCAAAGAAAGTAAATGCATGTTAAATAGAATTTAATTAATGAGAAAGTATTTTCTTTAAATTATAATGATCTATGCTCTTGCATGCAAAAGTGAAGTCCATTTGGATTTGGAAGACTAAACATAACAAAATACGATACAATTTAGAACAATCGACTATTAAACTATTAAATGAATTTCCAATCGTCGCATAAACTTTTACTTCTAATAGATGATTTCTCAGTTGTGTGGTATGAAATATTCAAGAGATTGTATTGAGTATCACAAAATTTACGCAAAAATTCTCATTTGAACACATTTGAAATTATTGTTTTCTAATACAAGGGAGAAATGTTTGAATTTTGGCTCAATAGGAAGCATGAAATCTTTTATCATTCTGATCGGGTTGTTTTTATTTTTAACTTCACTTTAAGTCTTAAAGCTAGGACAATTCTAATCTCTTCATTGCATGTTTCCACTTGACGCCATCACTAAATATTAATTGAAAAGGACTTCCTTCAATACAATCTCTTATCGCCACGAGATTTCATTCTATTAGACTCTCTCTCATCGCAATCTAATCTAGGGTACAATTTGCCCTCTGATGCACATGTCACAGGCAGGAAAACCTTCCGGGGGAAGTGAGGGGGAGCGTCTAGCTAAAATTAATTAAATTCATCATTGATCATAAGCACACTGAGGATGGGGGACCCACATGGCGGGGGCGGTCTAGGGTGTTAGACACTCTCCGGATTGAGCGGTAGATTGCTCTCGCAGCACTTGCAGATGAGGGCACTGAGCCGATCTCCTATGCATGTCCAGTTGATGGAGAACGATCCGCCGGAGAGAGCGCTCGCCGTCGTGGCGTCCGTACTCCGTCGTCAAATGTTATTGTTGTCCGGGTTGCCGCCGCCGGTGTCACTAGGCCCCGTGGAGGCCACAGGGGTCTCAGGCAGCCGTCCTTCAGGCGGCAGGAGCCGACCGCCTGCAGCGGCTCCCTCATCATCATTTTTCGACGCTGAGCTCTTGCGACTACTGCTACTGCTGCTATATCGATGCTTGATGGGCACATCCAAACTGTAGGCGCGATTGCGTGAAGAGTTGACCAGAAACACATCACCGCGACACTTGAGATTCGGCGACACGCTCCGATGTGAGAGATTGCAACAGAAGCCATCAGCTCTTGGCGTGCCGGCATTGTTATTTTTCACAGGCGAAGCACTAGCTGTTCTGGTGGATCCCGCTGCCGGCAGACGCTTGGGATCCTTGTCAAAACTCAAACCAAAGCGACCTGTGAGCTGACGAAGGCGTGATATAATGTTTCTGGCGCCAGAAGCCACACTGTTGGATTGGCACGTTGACGATGCCATGGACATCTTGCCAAGGCGCATCTCTCGTGTGGGTAGACTTTTGCTCTTCTCGGTTTGGCTATGTCCATTCCCAAACTCCCCGACTCTCTCCGCAATAGCGTCATTTTCCATGCCAATGTTGTGACGCTGCAGCAACTGTTGCTGCTGATGATGGTTATAGTACACAGCGGTGTCGCTCGTGACCGCCTGCAGTCCGTCTGACATTCTCCGGTTTTGGTACTGATCCAAACTCACGGCCCGGTTCGTTCCGAAGGGCGTTCTGTGCGGATGATGAGTGTGGATGTTGCCATAGGAGCCTCTCATGCGATTGCAGTACATCTCAACGCACATGGATGGTCGCTTCTCCTTGCTGATCTGCCTCTTGCTGGTCTGCGTCGACTTGCTCCGGCCACTGCTCTCGGTGTCCACTTTGAACTTTGACGTCTTCTCGGCGACCTATTGCACAAAATGAGAGGGAGAGAAAGGAGGAAAATGGATCAGTCCACTCCATATACCCTATACACCCTCGGGCGAATCATTGATTTTCTAAAGATGCTCCTCTCATTCTCAAGGATGAGAGAAGGAGAAATTTTATTAATAAATGCAACATGCACTGTGCTTATTCTACTGAGATTACTTGTGGTGAGATGGAAGCTGCATACTCTCGAAAATTTATGCGAAATCCCACGTACAATTTACACGGCATCCTGCAGCAGTAATCTTAACGCTATAAAGCAAAGTATTTTATACGATGGTACACCACTAGGGAAGAATATGAACAGCTACTGCAAGTGAACTGACCAAAAATAGTTAAAGTGTTTCTAACTCTACCTAATCTACTGAGACTACTCTCAGTAATACATAGTAATACATATATAGGATGTGGCTTCGAATTTCATAAACTTTTCAAAGCTCTCAGGCAAAATCCTGAATTATGCGATATTTCGTGAGAAGGATCAACATAATATACCATGATTAAATCGGCTCAAATAGTTGAATTCCTCGCATCAATTAAACCCACTGCAACACATATTGGGATTCACTTTAAATAAATATCAAATAAGCTCCAGCAGAGATACAGAGTCGACGCTTCTGTTTCTCTTCCACTCCGAATATAAATGTTTATCCCAAAATTTTCCCCGGGCTCTATACAATATTTGGGTGGGAGAAGAAATGGTTATTATATCGAATTTTGCAATTTAGATGAAGCCCGCGAAATATTTATTAATTTTGAGCCTTTAATAACCTTCAGCTGCCTTTCATGCGTGAATTTTTCAAATTATAATAATAAAATGAGCTCTACCTCGACTTCAGTGGCCGTTTCTGAATCACCACTCTCACTGCCTTCGGGAAGATCATGCAATTCGGCCGCAATACAGAGTGGCTCATCAACGGACGTCCGAGAGTTGGACTTCTGCGACGGGATGCTCCGTCGGGATCTCATGCTCATGCCACTCTGGGAGCGTGGCAATGGTGGAGATCCACCCTCTGATGAGTTTTCTGTCTCAACCAGTGATTTTCGGGAGCGTGACTGTGCATCGTTGAGCCGTCTGTAGTAGTCCAGGGCCACGCGCACGGGATTGATGATGAACTCATTGAGCTCTGGCAGTATTTCTCCCAGGGCCTCGAACAGTGGCAGCAGTACAAGTCCGATGAAGCGCACCTGGCTGCCGGGCTTGCTGACCTTCTCGGGGTCCATAAAGGGTGTCACCGGAAGGCCCTCGTTCTTCTCAGCAGCGCTCTGCGCGAAGAACTCCTGTAGCAAACGGTCCAACCACGGCTCGGCCACGTCCATGGGGCGCGCTTCGTTGGATATGTCCGCCACCTTGATTAGCACCATGCACAACAGATTCGTGTGCGCCTTATTGGAGTAGTCGAACACCGGACTGATATCCCTGAATTGGGTCAGGATTTCATTGTGACGTGCCATATCAGTAGCCAAAATGCACCGGATGATTCCCTCGCGAATTTCCCTAAAAAAGTTCCAGAGTATTTTCACATTATGCAGATTCATGTCAATACCTTTGATGTTATTTTGGAAAATCGAGTACTTTCCAAATTGCAAAAAAAATTTTACGGAGTGGCTTTTCTACTTCTCCAATAATACACATTTCAACGTCAAAGAGCTTTTCAATGTACACACCAAAGTCCTATCCAAATGAATTACCACAGTCTCCCTAATTTCGATCTTCCTTGCATCCCATGGTTCATTTAATAGCAGAGAACTAGCAGTGCACGAAAGCTTAATGAATAAAGCTTATCCGTATCCTATATGCAATTTCACACAAGTACAGAATTTTAGTAAAACTCACTTGAACGACTCCTTGCCGAGATTCTTGAAAATGTTGCAGTCTGGATGTTCAAACAGTCTAAACGCAATTGAGCAGTGATGATTCTCCAGCGGTGATATGTCATTGTATCTGTAGATTTCAATTAAAAGGGAGAATGTTATGAGAATGAAATGAGAGAGTGCATGGGAAGAAATTTGATTAAATTCTCCCTTAAACTATACTCTGTTGAAGTTTAGTTAATTAAACGATATAGAGATGTTTGTGGTGTACTATAACGTTTGTATTCACATTCTGTAAATCATAATTAATTATATATTCCAATGAAAAGAGCTTATACCTACTCTTGTGATAGAAACAATTAACTTTCTTGGCTTTGCACAAAAGTTTCCTTGGTCAATTTACTCAAAGAGAAAATGCAGTGTAGGAAACTACTAAATAATATTTATAAGTAGGCAATAAAGATTGAGAGTTGAAAATAGAAAGATTTTTCTTGGTAAAGCTCAACTCTCGACCTTTTATCACACTTAACAAACAACCCACGTAACTTTGTTGAAAATTTCAACTCAATTGTGTCCTACGCTTCCGAAATACTACTTATCGTGTGCCCTCGTCGATTCATCCTCAACATTTTATTCTCGAATAAATATTGAACTCTTCAAATAAATAAAACACCACCGTGCGTGAATGGGTTGAATTTTTCTTCAGATTATCGTAAAAGCTCCCTCTTTTAAGCATTTCCGACAATTTCAACGTGTCCTTATCACTTTTATGGCGGTATCTTTTATATGTGCGCATATATTTTATTCTGTAAAAAGTAAATCTCTCGACATATTTTTGCGGGTAATAAAGTGCGAGGAATGTCTTTGCCTTTGGCATCTCCCACAGAAATTAGTCAATTAAATGGTATCGCACCGGAAGGGATTTCTAAACGGAAAGATGAGTGATAGAGACACATTCTTCCGTTCTTAATGGGATGGAATTTGTCAGGTGTTTGAATTTGATTATTGGATTTTGTATACCTTAAAGCTAGCTCCGTCCTTGCATTTATTTGATAAATATTATTGTAACCGGGATGATCCAAGTCGTGACAAATGCAGGAGACAAGCAGTATGAGGATTTCCAAGTAGCCCAATCTCGAGGGTAGATCTGTTTGCCATGTAATCGCATACATCTGAAAAGACATATAGGAGAAGAGAAAGGATATAAGTTGACGAGAAATATGATGTGTGTGCCTCATTTTTATTATTCCTCTACACAAGAGTGGAATAAAATACTGAAATGCGGAGAGAGAAAAAAAAAATCCCACAAGTTTTCCCGCACCAAACAAGCTCACGGAAGGATACGAGTCTGTTTGAGATTTTTATGAATGAAAGACGAGAGTAGAATAGGAGACTGAGGAAAGTATAAAGATCATAAAAGCCACCAATAAACTATACACTATGCCTTCCTTCCGTGGTTCATGTCCGGGAGGGAGGCTTTTTATGTGATCACTCACCATTTGGGCGACACAGAAGCAGTGACGGAAATTGTGAAATGGCACATCATTGTAGTGCTTGTAGACCTCGTAGAGCCACTCGCGGAGTGTGACCAGGGGTAGATTGAAGCGACTGACCAGACCCAACTCGAGGAACATGGTTTGCATCAGGTGCAAAATATCCGCATCCTCCCACTCGTACGAATCGAAAGCGGGCAGTCGGAGGGCGGCTTTCACCTCGTCGGACAGAGCCGTATCACATAATTCGAGAAATTTTTTCTTCACCTCCGAGTGCTTCGGCAGACTACTTTTACGCTGTGGTGGGCCCATTGGACGTTTCGATAGACCTGCAAAATACATAGTCAAACATAAAAGAAATGTATTAGATTTTTGAGAACATCAAAAAGACAATATAAAAAGATACAAACATAAAATAACGATAACCTTTAGATATAGATTGTACGCAGTTTTGAATTATTGATTTGCATTTTCCAATTGACTTAACCGCTTTCCATGATGGTCAATTGTTAAAATTCCCAATTCAATATCCAACTAATTTCATAATCATCTTACAAATATTGGGGCTAGAGGAAAACTCCACAAGAAGAAATTTACAGTATAACTGGGGGAATATGATGGAAGAAACTCTGATAAATGGGATGGAACAATGTGAAGAATTTTCAAAGGGTCAGTTTTTTCATCTTTCATCCTTCAACCCCTTTTTTTTGGCGTGCTACCCCATTGATGTTCAACATGATCCCCGAGATGTGCCCTGAATCTCGACTCACTCCCGCTCCACTGAAGCCTTTGTTGGCAAATCAATATATTGGTTGGTTCATATTATCAAAAAGGATAAAGAATTTTTCCTCCAGAATGGACATACACATTTCACGTCATAAAATAAATTCAAAATTAATCAAACACACGCAATATGAATTTTTGTATTCTCTCATTTTTCTTCCTCTTCCACCGCACTTCCCCATAATCGTGATTGTATCTGAGTGAGAGAACGAACGGAAAGGAATCTCATCTACCATCAGGATAGAGATTGAAGAGGAGGAAAACTTTGGCATTCCCCTCAATTCACACAGATATTTGTGCCAATTTGTGTGAAGAATAGGAAGAAAAGTTTTCCTCCTCTTTTCAATCCATCACGAGAGTGTTCACGGGTGAAATTCAGCTCAACATTGCATAATTGAGGGTGAAATTTTGACGTAAAGCCAAAAAAATTCACTATGCCCTTACTCTGCAATGAGTTAATATAATATATCCTAATTATATTATTAATGCATTTAGTGGCATCAAACTATACATGCATATGCATAAAAATTATGATTTCTCATCTCTCCATTTTATGCAGCAAAAGTGCGCATGAAGCGAAAATCCTGGGAGTATTTAAACATTACCAACTAATAAAGCACAAGCAGAGTTTCGAATTATAATGGTATTCAAAGAATTCCTTTTCATATCACTTAATATAACTTTCTTCATTGAATAATGCATTCTGCAGTTGAGATATGTACGTAATTTAATTTAAAATATACTTATGGCATAAAAAAACTAATTCACATCTCATTAAACCTAAATATCAAAATTTCTTATTAGATGATAGTTTTGAAAACTCCTAATTTGAATTCAATAGCAGAATCAGTGAAATTGCTTACAAACTTTCTTCACCCAAAAAGCAATACTTAAACGAGCATTTACGTCACCTATGAGTTATACTCGAAAGTACTTAACACAATATGTACGGAGAATTTATCATTTTCCAAACGAAAGTTTAACAAATTTCATTGTTATAACTAAAACTTATATGAATTATATGAATTTCATGCAAAGCTTCAATGATAATGCGATATTATATGTATATGTGGGTGGGTGTAAGTTGAGATATAAGTTTTGCAGAAATGCTTAATACTTGGCTTGTTGGAAACTACCTATTTTATTCCTTATGAAAAATCAGCAACGCGTCAGTTCTTCATATTAAAGTTTACATTGAATTCACGACCTTTCACGTTGTATTTAACATTGATCGTTTCACATTGGGATTTTCACCTTTTCTCCACATCATTTCCACACCGCCAATATAACACACTGTTCTAGCTCATTGAACTCAAATAAAAAATACAACAATATATCTCCACTGAAGTCAAATATGAGGGGGGCAAAAATATGAGAGGAGGAGTATATATCAAATCACAATTTGAGCTCCAATTTCGGCTGAGAGCTTTTTCTCTTTAGCATTCACAAGTCAGAGAGGGGTTGGCGTAAAGGATACTCCTCGAGGCGAGAGTGGTGGAGATTGAAAGCTCAAATATCACAGGATTTGCCGACTGATTGAAGAGAGAAAATCAATCACTGGAGAGTTCAATTGTTAATTTAGATGTTGTGCGATCATGATGATAAGGGCCAAAAATTGACTCTCTTGAGGGGAGACAATTTGTTCTTGCATCATCTCAAGGCACACTCAGAGGAATCAGTAGCAATATTTGAGATGAATATTGAGAAAAGTGTCGATTTACCAATAGATTCAGTTCTTTTAATTGTACTAAGAAAAAATCTTTTACTCAATGGAGAAAAAGGCTTTCAGCAAATATTGCTCTGAAGGTTTTAATTTTCATATCGTGACTTTTTCCGAGTGCACCTAACGAAGAAGGAATTATACTCGACAAAATTGAAGTATTTACCAAAGTTATCAACTTACATAGCCAGTTCATCCTCTCTGTGTACTCAATCTTCCTTTTAAGATCCCGTACGAGCGCTCGGATGTCCTCCTCTGTTATGATCAGGGACTCTCCCTCACACTGTCTAGCCCGTTGGCCATCAGGATTGTCATCGCTGATACTGCCGGTCGTCGAGGCTGTGTCCAGCACACCTCCGGACGGCTGACCTGACACCCTTTCTGCACTCATGCCACCTGGCTCGCGCTGGCAGAAATGTTTCCTGAAACGCTCTACGAGGCCCAACACCAAGCGTTTATCTACCTCATCATTGGCAGCCGATGGATCCGTCACGACCTGCTGTGGTCGCAACAATGAGTGTTCCAGGTGCTGCAGACGCTCAACAAGGTGAGACACGTCGGCGATTAATTTACCATCAACGCTCAGGCCGGCGCCACGTGAGTTTTTCTCCTTGAACATTCGCCAAAATCACACACGGCCACACCGGAATCACGCTCCACGCCACCCTCAGCTCCTGACCACCGCCAATTGGGTCGTCCTCAATTACATAGGGAGCATTGTTGCTGGCCACACTGAGCGCCCAGTGAATGCCGAGCCGGTGCTCTGAAACGGAAGAAGGGAAAACAGTGAGAAAACCAGACAGACAGCACTGATACAATTTTCATCAGTTGGGACAGATTTGGCAGTACCGAGGGACACGAGGAGGAAGAGGCGTCCAGAAAAAGGCACTTTCAATCCTCCCGTGTGCTTTGAAAATTTAATGCTTCCCCTGAGCTTCTCCCTCATTCTCTTGAATTTTTAAGCGGTGTGCAATGCAAATGAGAGATGATCAATAGACATCTCCATGACCCGGTAGAGATTGCGAAAAGTTTTCTAATAAAATTCCATTGACCTCACATCCTATTGGTTGGTGAAACTGGATTTAAACTTCCGAAATGGACAGCACAACTCCATTTGCAAACATTTCAAAGGCTGGCAACGAAAAAATCTATAACAGCAAAATATCAGGAATACAATTAAGTATTTTTTACTCTGTATTCTCACTAGAAAGGTAAAAAGTGAATTCTGCTTTTCAAAACTTGATTTTACCATTTATGAAAATTCAATTTGATGAAAGCGGCACCTTTTTCGCATAGAAAAAAAGGAGAGATGGAAAGTTTATGATTGACTGAAAAGTGGAAAATAATCACATTAATCCATTTAAAATTATTGATTCTCGGAAATGACTCTCCAATTTTGCAAATGATGCTCGCCACTTTGATTCTCATAGCAATGAAATGCAATTAATTTCTCCTTTGTGATTGCCCTAACGGGTAATTTAATAAGGGTGTTTCGATTGAACGGAAAATGTGATACCTTTTCCACTAAGCAATAAAAACTCCTCACACTGCAAACTAAAATAGGCTGACCTTTGACTTGTTTTTCAGTCAATTTGCAATCTGTGAAGCTGTCATGCTGTGCTATTTTAATCATATACACCAAACGCAAAAACACATAAGGGCACATTGAAAAAAATTCTAGGATCCACGGGAGTGATGAGACAAATAAAAATTATTGCTTCTCTCTTAAATTAAAGGTTCGCAGCGTGAAACAAAGCATAATATCATATGTTACGTGAACACATAAAAAAAGGAAGTAGAAGTGAAAACGACGAGCCAAATTTTCCACTCCGGGGAACAGAGCGGAATAATATTTCAGGCAATTATTTATCTAAATAGCATACAACGTAATTATAATTAACTATTATTGGCGTTAATAGAAAGTGCATAAAAATCGCCATCAATAAAGAGGGTCATATTTTGCCAATTATTGAACGCCACATTGGCTAATTAATTATCATGCTCCAGTCGCGCTGTCCCCATTTGAGAGTCTGTACGCCAGAATTATCTGCATCATCAAATTTTTATGATACCACAATCACTTCTCGATGAGGACATTAAGCAGAAGCGCCAGACGTCATCGTTTGCCCTAAAGTGGATGGGAAAAAAAAACCAACGAGGACGTTGGCAAATTTGCCGAATCTTGCAAATTTTTGCATAACACATTGGAGTTGAAATAGAACTAAAATATAGATAAAGGATGGAGAAGTTTTGAACCAAATAAATATTGGTATAAAGGATTTTTTTAAAGTCGAACTTTGCATCTGCTAAAAATTACTTTAAATACATATAAAAATTTTCTCAAATTACTGTTCAATGTAAGTTGATACAAAAAAACCATTTCTACTAGATATGAACAAAAGACATTCCCATATTTTTAATTGATGTTAAAAGTATCTATGCTAAAATCAGAACCACAATTTTGAATAGGAACCTAAAAAAGCTCCTTTGAAATGCAAATCTCTTCAATTTGATTGTACATTGCGGATTATTCGCAATTGCATCAGTTCCGAGGTTTAAGCGGTTATTTCGCTCTTCGTAGGTTTTACAACTGAATAAATGTCATACTTCTTTGAGGCTGTTTATTGCAAATCGCGCTGGGACATGCAATGGTAACATGTGGAGCAAGCTAATTGGTTGTGCGACGATGTTAATCGATTAATTTGCACATCAAGTGTGTGCAATTTTAGTATCCCTTCACGGTCTTTCACTGGAAATTCAACTATAACAGAGGTTGCAAGGGATACAATGTGGACAGTGTTTGCGTGTGAAAATTGAAAGGTGATCAATTAAATTTGCTCAAATGGGGGCAAATAGAGTGCTGGACAATAAAATCAAATAATCTCTTAAAAAATCAATCGATTAGAACGGCTTTTATGTTGGCGGAAAGCAAAAACATTTTTTAATCTTTGCCCCAAAAAAGCACACATAAGGGATGGAATTAGAGGACAAAAGCTCATAAATTACATAGAGAAATGATCTCGTAGAACTTGCTGATGGGAGTTGAACTTCTCCTGTGACACACAACAACATCCCGCCTTCAAGAGGGCGGAAAAGTGTGCTGGGATACCGCCTAGGGAAGATTATTTATGGGACTGATGTCAAGTGGTTGTCTGTTTATTGACGGTTTCACAGAGGCTACAGTAATTTGTGAAAAAAGCGAACTTCCCCACACAAATTAATTACATTGAGTATGAAATACTTTTTCATTCAGAAGTCATCTCAGTGCCCCATGCCTTTGACTTCGAAGCCCCACATTGACGCCCCCGCTGAGCGAAAATAATGTCTAACATTTTAATATTTTCCATGTCATAAGGACAAAATGCGTGAAATTGAATTATGGTGACAGTCAAGTATCATAATTACATGCTACAATACTGTATATCATCGCACGAAATTATGTCAACACTGTTTTATAGGCAGCATTCTGCAGTAGAATATACATAGTATACATATTCAGTGTTTATAGTATTTTACACCTTTCCACTTAAAGAAAATACAACTATATTGATGGGTTTATTTCATGTAATTTTCCCTCGAGTTAATATGTCAAAAGTTTACATGAATCATTCTATAATAACTTTGAAGTTTGCTTTGATGGGAAAATGAGCATTTCTTTCAATGTGAAGTCCATGGAACAACCTTGTCTCAGTAAAATTATCAAGAATAAGAGATAATTGCGAGTTTAAAGTTAAGGTGGAGGTTTTCCTCGCAATTGCAGCTATTCAAATGCACTCTAATTGTGTGATTATTTTAATTCACACCTTTTTTGCGGTTAGAAATAACCACTGAAAGTCATGGTTATATTCCAAGCACTGTTAAATAGCGACTTTAAGATATAACACAAAAGTAATTTCACATGAACTCTTTAAAATTTCTCACCATGAATTCTTTCTGAAAGAATTGGCAGCAAATGGAATATAAAATTCAGAAAATGTTGACAAATTTTCCATCACTTAAAGAAAAATCTATTCTCTTTTTCATTGTGTCCAACTGATAAGTCCAAGGATAAAGCAAAATGCATCCTTAAGCATTGAAACTACTCGAGAATAATGTATGACGAATAATCCAGCTGAAAATCCTCTTTTTCCTGTATCTAGCAAATGCCTTTCATCTGTCGTTTTACATTCTGCCAATACTCCATTCCCATGAGATGAGAGACACTTTAATACAATTTGTGGAATTTTCACACTAACGTTCTCGCCTCCATTCACTTTAACGTATGGTGAAAATTACAAAAATATGGAAATGAAGTAACAAAATTTTACTACCGCGTTAGAAGATTATTTAGTCGCTGCTTTTGCTTTCTCCCCATTTTATTTGTTGTTGCCAAAGTGATGACTTGTGAAAAGTCTCGTGTTCCATATTACAACCAACTTAAATTGACTTTCATACCCAATTCTGAGTATGAACAATTGAGGCAGAAGGTCCTCTATATTTCTGAGAAACATAGATGGGCATAATGCAAATAAAGAATAACAATTTTCTTTCCACTCTGTCGAGTGGTAAAATGTTCTATTGAGAATACATCAAAGAGAAGAGATCGTCGATAACGCACCTTAAACAATCAAACTTCCAATTATTTTCTATGTTGAACTACATTTCTATGTGTGCGAAGTTAAAGTCATTCAATTTGTCATGGAAAATAGCTCGTTAGTCCATCTAACATAAGGAATTTTTTTTGTAGAAAATAACACAATGCAAGCAATTAATTTGCTGGGATGTAATAAATATGGAAATGTATTCGACAAAGTCCTCTTCTGTTCATATTCATAAAAAAAATTCTTTATTTAGCAACCTTTAACCCACAGTTATTCTCTGATATGATTGAGTGAAGAATCGATCTTTGAGTACAGGAAAACAACTGTGACGCATTTATTGTGACAAATATTTATCTTATTAATATTGAAAAAGCATCCCTCATCTCGGTATCGCCTTGAAATATTAAAGTGGCTGACAGTCCCTCAGATTTTGTCTTCGACCAGTCTGACAGAAAATTAAGCTCTAACGCAAACAAGTATTACAGCCACTGAGTTACTGGCATACACTCTCTTCATCCTTGGAAAAACAATAGGATTTTCGTACCCGACGACAGCTGCTTCTTTACACATTTAATTTGCCATGAAAATGGATCTAATGGTTAACTCTTGCCAAGCTCTTACTTTGTAGTTTAGAGTGCAGACACATAGTCATTATTTGTCTTAATGTTAGACTGCTAAATTTCAGGTAATTTAAGGACTAATAGTCCCTAAATGAGGTCAGCAGCAAAGCACTACTCATCATTGTCAGCTAGACAATTTGAAAATAGTACAAAAGCGAGAGCAATTCTCTTTCCTATGCTTGTCTGCGATTCCTCGTGAAAGTGGTAGCAACCATGGCATTTGAAGCCTTTATTCACTTTTATCCTCTCTTTCCAAAAAGAATAAAAAAAGAAGAAGTGTTTGTGCAGAAAATTTTGAAATCTTCTGAAGACTACATGAGGCCCAAGATAATGGAATTGGACCAGAAAGACCTCAACGAACTAAACCAGGATCTCATCAAGTGGCTCAGAAGTCATGCCATGCGACAGGATTTTGGTTTCGACAACCACAATATTTTCTCCACTGATGTGCCAAGAATAGTTGAGGACTGTAGTGAATACTCTGAATACGTGGTTAAAATCCCGAATGGTGGTCGGGCATTGTGTGATGAAATATACAGCATGGTAAAATATGAGATTGCAAA